TCATGCACGATTTTGCAGTGTAATCCATCATATGAGTTTTGTATGATATTGACTATCTTCTGGGGCACGCCGTAGTGTCGAAGAAGTTTCCATAGTGTTGTTCTGTCCACGCTATCAAATGCCTTTTCGTAGTCAATGAAGTTGATGTAGAGTGATGAATTCCATTCAATTGATTGTTTCACAATGATCCGTAGAGTTGCGATTTGGTCTGTACACGATCTATCCTTACGGAATCCTGCCTGTTGGTCTCGAAGTTGGGCGTCTACGCAGTCCTTCATCCTGTTTAACAATACCCTGTTGAATACCTTCTTCAATATTGAGAGAAGAGTGATGTCCCTGTAGTTATCACACTTGCTGAGATCGCCTTTCTTCGGTATTTTGATCAGGAGTCCTTCTTTCCAGTCTGTTGGTACTTGTTCCTCATCCCAAATCTTATTGAAGAGGGTGTTGAGTATCCTTGCGGGTACCGCTACGTCTGCTTTTAGTGCCTCTGCTGGGATGTTGTCCGGTCCTGCTGCTTTGCCACTCTTGATTTGTCTGATGGCCATGCTGATTTCTTCAATTGTTGGTGGGCCTGTAGTGGCATTGGACAATAGCCACACAATCCACAAAGCTGTGAACACGAGACTACTCAGAAAATAGATATTCAATATTTAACGCGGAGAAATACCTAACAATGGAGAAGGCGCGAACAATGAATTGAATGGACTGGAGTCGATCGAGTGGCATGGCTCGGCCATGCAGGCGTGGTCTCTGCTGAATATTACCTTATATCTTTTATTCATATTAAATATATTGTTCTTTCTCTAGCCTAAGCTTGTTCTTCATCATGTATTGGTAGTTGTTACGATACGGTGAGTTGGTGTAGTCGATGATGTGACTTCCACGTAAGATCTTATAGATTAGGCAGTTATATCATGACAAATCTACAAATTTAGGATTAGGTCTATTATTAGAGCAGTACTAATGTTATAGTAGACCATAATTCTACAAAGTATCGTCTCCGGAAGGCGAAGAAGAGTCGACAATAGTTCGGCGTCCTTTAGTAATTTGAAAAAGTTGCTTTGCTTTTAAACTAGCTTGTTCTGGCTGAAATGGTTGGAAAGTAAAAACAGAGAGTAGCAATATAACAGCTATAGTCAACTTGAAATAAAATTTATTCATGGATAACATTTAAGTGCTTATGTGACTGAGCATTGAAAGGACTCCTCATACAAACGAAATGATAATATTGTGAAATAATCACAAAAGGAAGTATCCATATGATCAAAAAATAAATAGACAAAATCAATATTTAATAAAATACACATTCTAATCAAAAATACAACCAGGATAAACTTCTGTTAGTTAAGATGCTTCACTTTGCTTTATTGAATATGTAATAGTCCCTGCCACATGCCTTTTTTAGCAATGTCGAATAACGTATCGAGTCACGCTGAGTTCCGCAGTCTTCAAAACGCTATTCAGAATGTCGTGAACATATAGCAGCCTCATACATTTATTCCCTATGTCATGGCGCAATTTCATGAGCTGACCACTTCTTTGTTTTTCTCACTTAATTCAAGAATCCGCAAATAATGAACCACAAAGATGCCATTGAGAAGGATATCATAAAACATCACCGTCAGATGTAAACTATCGTTCGAAGACAATGATGACCGAACACAGCCATGAACATTTCCAGCTACAGGTGACGCGAGATTTTACAAAAACAGAACTGTATTCATACACCTACTCAGCCAGATACACAAACAACTGACTGGTTCTAGGGGATTTCAAAACTGCTAAAGTCAATTTCACGGAACATACGTATATTGGATGCGATAATTCTATGAACCCTCGGTTCTTCAACCTCATTGACAATCTGGGATTATTCGAAACTGTGAGGTCGACAACTCGTTGAAGAAACAGTCAGAAGCCGTCGCAATTGGACTGTGTACTTACAAACGATGAACTACAAATTGACAACCTCTCAGTGATAACTCCCCTGGGAACAATGATCACATCGTCATAGCCTTCAGTTTTATCAGCCAAACTGAGCTAACACATCTCACCAACGACAGGCGCTGGAATTTTGAACGGTTAAATGTGTCAGCTTTACAGGACAATCTACAACAAGTGGATTGGGAAACTCACCATCAACTTGATGTGGATGCTAATTAGGGTTTCTCACTGCTTGTGATCTTATATGCTACATAGCAGTCTGTTCTTCAAATGGTTCCCAAAATCTACAAGCAACCTACAGTCATCAAGAGCCACACTCTTCACTTGCGAACCCGCAAAAGACACTGTTGTGCGGAAAACAAACGAACTGGTAACAACGGAGCGTACATGCAACTTAAACTAGTAAGGGACATATGCACAAATGTAGTAAGAGAAGACAGGCTTCAGTACCAGATACAGCTTATCGATAAGTTTGTCTCCAATTCCAGAAGCTTATTTCGTCGTGCAGCCTCTCTTCGACAAGCCCAAACTGAAGTTTCCCAACCACTAGGTCCTAACTTCCCGACCAACAACGGTGGTAACGCCGCCGACCTTCTGGCAGAACAGTACTTCCGGACATTTCAACCGACCTACATTAACCATATTGATGAAAGCTTCATCTGTGACTGCACGGGACTTTCCGAATTGAACCTGAGCACTGACTTTATGTACCGAAAACTGCAGCACCTAGAAAAGATAATTCTCTTGGTCCGGATATGGTTCATTCTACTATACTGAGCAAAGCAGCTTCAATCATGGTAACGCGTGGTGTTATCACACTCGCTAAGCCGAATCACGTTATCGGAAATTCGGAAGCTGGCTCACATCACACCAAGTTTCAAAAGAGGTTGATGCAGTGAAATTTCAAGCTGCTGACCAGTGGCTCTTCTCTTCATACCTTCTAAAGTAATGGGGTCCCTGATATATAACTGTATACACGACTATTCATCGTCCTTAAACTTCTTTTCACCTCCACAGCATGGTTTCAGATTGTGTTGTTTTTGTATAACCACCCCGCCGACCAAGGTAGACAAATGGACAACCATCCCTTGTCTCAAGAGGAAGTTTGACTTCATTCACCTCGACTTCTAAAGAGCCTTTGATGGGGATATCCATATATGTCTTATCAATATGCTTAAACGACCAGGTATCAAATCATCTTTAATTGATTGGCTCACTTCATATCTAGAAGATCGACATTTTAAGGTCAGGTTTAACTTCTTTTTCTCTCAGGCTATCGAAAGTCATGGTGGGGTCTTCCAGGGTTCAGTACTAAGAACTCTTCTTTTCTTGATTTATGTAAGTGATCTTTCATAACAGGTATCGGCTGACTTATTTCTTTTTGCTGATGGTGTGGAACTTTCGAGAGAGGTACTCAACCAAGAGGATAAACTGACACTTCAAAAGAAGTTGAGCAGATGACGACGGACTTGCCTTTAATACTTCAACGTGTAAAGTAGTCCATCTGAGACATGTTGCAGACTACAGTTACAACTTAGGAATCTCTCTGGAAGTATTCCAAGACGAAAAATATCAGGTAATGTTGGTGTACTATGTTCTTACGCTAACCATGACAAAAATGCTTTTCGAAAAAATTTTACACTACTAACGCTGAAGCTAATTTTGGGCCAGTTAGAAGGAGGCACTTTCTACATAATCTTCAACAGTCTTATTCGTCTCAATTTAGAATACGGAAACATAGTATTTCCTCCCTCACTCCAAAAGGATAACAACCCTCTGGAGCGTATCCAACGGCGAGCCACAACATCATTTCGGGGACTTAAATTCAAGCGCCTTCAGTGGCTGAATCTTTACCCATTAATGTACAGGCGTCTTAGAGGTGACCTGAGGGTTCTTAAGAACTACGGACAATATCTTACTATGATTAACCAATTTCTTTTTTCCTGTGTTATCGTTAATATACCTAGGTTCCTGCCTGAAAGTATTGGTGATCAATTGCTACTAGACACGGAAGATCGTTAAGCGAAAGCTTCTTGTATTCCGTTCACAACCATATGAACCATTTGAACCATTATGTCGACGGGTTTCTGGCCCAGCTAGTGCCGACTTCATTTTTATTATATATTCAAAAGATATATGAGGCCTTACTCGAAATTCGGTATTGTTGTGACTACAAGCGCTACTTAACAGATCACATTGCTTCATTGACTATAGGATTACCTTAAGGTATCTCTATAGTCGGGGTTCAACGCTATCATCGGTCCTTTTACCTATTCTTACTCATTCTTAGACTCTCTCAGTCGATTAAACAAACCATTCCTTTAAAAGGTAACTACAGACCTGAAGCTGTACTCTACTATCAAGTTACAGGCGCGGAGAAATCATTTTGTTTATACGAGCTCACTCAAAAATATTGGTTATTGACTCGACATTGGTGCTACTTGTGTAGGTCATGTTGTTTACTATCCGTGTCCCAAATAACCGTGTTTCCTCTTGCACTTCTCCCCGCGCTTGTTTACAAATCAACAATATTTTAGTATTTACAAGTGATATGACACTATTTTTCCGAAGGTATAGACAGGTCACACAACGTCTGTGAGTCAGTGAAACGCTAATTTACCGACGCGTTGTTTATGAATAAGCAGTTAAAAAATTCAACCTACAGATTGGATGTTAGACAGTTTGGCGTAAATTTGGGCGGAATTTAGATAATTCGGTGAACATTTAGATGGAATGCGAACATTTTGGCAACTACTATGGTGTTGAGGTGTAAATTATTATATTTCTACCTGGATTAGGACCGAATTCCCTAAGCTGGTGTTGCCCGTATTTCCTCAAAGTCCGCCTTTATTTCCCTATTGTGTAATTGGAAATCAGTTCTTACTGGTTTGTCTTATAACAGAGCAATACGAATACTCAAAGCTTGCTCAAGACTTATTGGAAAGCATTATTTAAACAAGAAAAGTTTCGAAGTGTCACTTAAATGATAAGTATTCAGTGCACCAATATATTTTTGATTTTCCCCTGAGGGATGTGAGTATTACGAAGATGTACATATGTACTTATTTCCAGATGCCTTCAAAAATCATTTCCTTAGCTTAAACATACAAGTCAACTGTCTTGAATTCAGGACTGGGTGTTCGGAAATGTTATTGCTGTCGGCCTCATGGTTTAGGTATGTTTGGTTACCGAACTAGAATTACATATAGCTTGTCCCGTTTTTCGCCTTTCAAATCCTTAAGAACTTGCTGGTTGTCATGATTCAGAATAAGTTGTAATGACGCAGATACACTTTCTATTTTTCTCTAGATCTTGAGTCCCAGTGTATCTCCACACATACTTTTTTATTCTTTCTCAACGTTCAGTTTGTCTAACTCCCAGTTCTACCACTAGTGTTCCGAGTTTTGATATTCATCTTATTCACTTTCTATTGTACTGATTTGGTCTCGTAACCAGAATCTACTTTAGTTACTACTGACTACTACTCTGCATCTTTCTTTGCTAACTTCTTTAGTGTTGTCGGTTTTCTGAGTTCTTCAGTTGTAGCGTCGGAGTTAAATTTGTTAAACTTTCTCAGCAACCTGGTGTGATGTAAATGATTTCCTTTATTTGTGTAAACTAGCTTATATTGTAATAGGTATTAAAGTACCTTGACTCGACACTTATAGAACCTGACACCGTTCTTCATAAAAAAGGTTGACATTTTGGGTAAGAAGGGTTTTGATAAACTGATAACAGTGTGATCAATTTGATCGTTTAATCTGTGTCATAATATTACTCGCCTAATTTTCCTGTTGATTTATTTAGAAATACTACTAAAATCTGTCAGTACGAAAAATCATATAGCTCCTACCCAAGACAAATGAAAAATGCAAATGTACCATCCTTTGATGCATTCGATGCGCTGATGATTGAAATAATCAAATATTCAAATTCCGTTTCAAGTGATGTATTGTTTTTTCTGATAATTTCCATTCCTCTGATATTTGAAAACTCTAGGATTCGGATATTCGTTTTCTTGAATCCCTTGGTGTAAGCGTAAGCGAAAAGTTAATCGAAAAGTTTGTGTATTTGTTTTCTAACCTTTCACATTAAGAGCTACAAAAGATCATGCCAGGTTTATCAATGAATTAGATATTGTTAAATATGTATGCACAGAATTTTGGTCATCAGTATACCACAAACAAGTTGATACGCTTAAAACCAATTACCAAGTATGGTGACGTTCTTACTTATAAATTAAATAGGATGTTTACGTTCTGATTGTTAATGATTTTCAGCCTTTAGTGAAATTCGATAGTATCCCAGAAGGCATATCAGAAATCCCAAAGGTAAACATATGAATACTTTTATTTTGTTTTTAGTATCTGGCGTTCCCTTCGGGACTTTTGAAAGGAGCTTTATGTAGTCTTGGATTGAATTGTGTTGTAGCAGCAGATTGTGAACAACCACCTACATGTAAGTTTGCCTATAACAAAGTCACTCTTAGTAACAGGTAAATTCACAGTTACAGTGCTTTCTTACAGAGGTATAAGCTGAAATTGTGAACATATTTTGTTATTTGTGGATTAAACTGGCCTACTTATATATTTCTGATTTTTTATTAAACCGAGTTTTCTAATTTATTGTGATTTCTGATTTAATTTTAGTCTTGCAGAAAACAACTCTCCCATTTATACTGTTATCTATGTTCCATAACCAGAGCGACCGACAACGTTTACTTAAACGATCATCACTTATACTTGGTGTAACGCACCTTTATCTAATTATCAACCATAAAATGGTATCCAGTTTGTAAGCGTGACTTTCTTATTGATTTTATTTTATTGCATTCTTCATTATTGTTCGAGTTTCGCCTTTGACTGTAGCTACGCGAAGATTGGTTTTACAGCCATGTGGACTTGCTCGAAGATTACATCTATTGGGGAAATAGGATCTGGACCTACTGGTATCTTTCACAGCATTTTCTGTCTGCGAATTTCAGAGACGTATAATAGACTGTGACCATTTAGAGGAACAAAAAATATCTGAGCACATCGAATAATGACTGGCAAATCCAATGATCACTCGTGTATTATCAGATGCGGAAAAACCAACAGCTAAAATTTAATAAATAGGAATCTACCGAGCTACTTTATTGTAAAATGGTTGAATGTATATCTTAGTCGCTAGGTACTTAGTGGGTTGGATTTGTCCAAAATTTGCTTCTATTTAGGCTTAATAGATAGTGGATGCCTCAAAGGCGTTCAAAATAACTGACCAACAGCGAACACCAGTTCTACTTCTCTCTCAAGAGGTCACTGCCACCAAACGTTTCTAAATTGACTGTACGGAAAGGGTACACGATCAACTCCTTTATATTGTAAATATAATCAGATGGTTTTGTCACTTAGTCTTATTTGTAATTGTTCATTAATGTTCACCTATGGAACTGACTTTGGTCCTAATTTTATTGATTAATGTGTACTTACGCTTGTTAGTCCTCATGGAAGAGCGTAAGCTTTCCAATCATTTTTATTATAACTGGTTTCTTAGCAATTTGTAGTACAATGTTTATTATCGTATTGTATCTCTCATTATTATTAGTTTTTATGTATTCTGAACATTTCATTTTCATAAACTAAGCATGTCAACTCTATGTTTTTGATCATATTGTTCTTCACAACTTGACGTTGCCTGTAACTCACGAGAACCGTTAAAATAGAATGAATTCATTTTACTTTGCAAATCTTGTTTTTCTTGCTTTATTCTAATTTATCAAAGAATGTCCAAAATCATATCAATACGTCGGTCATAATTTCATCGACTTAGTTGTACCAGGGTGTACGTTAATTAAGTTGAAGAAAATATTACTATGCATTGTTTGGCGGGACTAGTTGAGAAACAACTAGGCATCAGTCCTTGACATCACTAACTTCTAGTCTGAGCCATGTTGACAGATACTGACTGCTTGGTTGGCGTCCGCGCAACTATCGTAACCAACAGTTGAAGACTGGGTGATATGGCTCAGAATCGACCATAATGATGTAGGTGTTTACTTCTTGTCTTTCTTTAAACCGTGGGATTAAAATTACTTCATACCTTTATTTCTACGAGCTAATTCTTTCTCACTGTATCATATCCTTATATGCAGTCCTTCTTTTAGATATTACTGGCATTGAAGTAGCCACTTCTATGAATTTGGTGTTTACGTTGTGCTGATGAGGTGTAACAATTTGGACCGATGCATATATGTGCCTGGCCCTACGTTGTAGTTAACTGACTGACTAGTTAAAAACTTTTTCGGGCAAAAATAAATGCCAGTTAATGACTGTTGAATATATTTATTCACAAGCTAAATAGGTGTAAGATATGAGTCTTTTATCATACTACATATGTGCTGAGAATTCTTTACAGTAAATGGATTAGTGGACATAGATTTTAGTGTACAGGAGATGGTTACGTGTAGCACGTAGAGATTCACCATAACTTTTTAACAGACTTTATTAACTAAGACAGTATGTGACTAGTGAGCCATTTTTACCTAACAACTCTTGATAAGTGATGGTGACCTTTAGTTCAACACGTTGTAATCCTACGATTACACATCTTAATGTGCTTGTGTGTGTCTGGACACTTATAACTTTATCCAGTGCTTATATCCCTGTCACAATAAATTATCTATTTTGAGTCATATTAACGCTTGCAATGAGTAGTATTTTAAGTGGACAGATTTGTTTTCACCTCTTATTTTGCTGTCTGAAATTGGTTCAGTTTAGCCTTAGTAAAATATACAAAATCAAGCGGTGATTTTTTATTGGTGGTTCACTCTTCGTTCGTTCCCTCGTCATTCATTATGGAGTCAAATCGCGAGCACAATATATGTACTGACAAAATGTAGATAGGATTTTAATAACGACATAAAGCCTGAAATTAGCTTATTGATGTCATAGGATATTGAGGTGTTGAGTTTAAAATTTCACATCACGAACTCACTTTTGTTAGGTAAATATTGAGAACCACTAAACAGTTGTTTTGTCCTGGTATGAGACTTTAGTAGTCCACATATACAGCCTCACTAGGGGTCAGACCTTCAGGAATGTAAGTGTACAGTTACATCAATTTCAGACCTTCCCGTTGTATGGCGCTGGCTGTTTTTTTGGCCAGACTATATCCAATCCAGCACAAATTGGAGTTTTTCGAGATTAATCAATGGAATGTGTCGTATAATACGTATAACCTAGCGTGTAGGTACTGTTTTGTGTTGAAGCTCCGTCTTTTGCTTGTGTTGTAGTAAACTCCAAATCTATATTTTGAGTTGTACTTTGCAGGGCGATTTTTTAGTCACAATCCATATGTGTCCTTGTTTATGCTTTTCAAAATGAATCCTCACCCAATATTTTTTAGAAAAGTCGTCATTAAATCAAAATGTTTATTGTATTTTCTTCCCAGTAGTTATTTGTGATAAGGTTGGTCGGCTATTCGGAAGATGAGGTAGTTTAGCAGTAAATAGATGTAATGTGTTAAAGTCGACGTACGAATGTCAATCTCTTGACTTTCGGCAGATTAGTAAAACTACTGTTCTATCCAAATTTCTCATCTGAAAATGACGAATATAACTTCTATATCATGACTAACTCGAAACCTAGCTATTACTAAGGTTAATAATGCTGATATAATAACGTAAGAGATCGGAAGCTAGTTTCTCCAATAATTGTGATTAGGTTATGATTAATTGTTTCATGGTTTCTTGTGATCGGTTTTGAATGTAATTTGTTAGAAAATGTCCTTTTGTAGAAATGCTTTGAAGTGGCATACGTCTTGTCCGATTATTGGTTAGAACTCGGTAGTCAGAAATCTTATGCGGTTTGTGACTGTCGGTCGGGTTTGGCGTTCTAGATACCTAATTCATTATTCCGAGAAGCTTTAAAATAGAGGATAATGTGCGAAATCACTTCGGACGATCATCTGAAATTACATCATTACGAATCAGTATTCTCTTAGAAGCCTCATATTTATTTTCGGCAAACGAAGTGAGCTTTGACATATGTAGTTGTGCGTCAATGCATTCGCGTATTTTAAAGGACTATTAACACTTGTAATAGACGACTGGGTCAAGAAACAATCTGACACACAGTTTGTGCTTTCTGCTTGATTGCAGTATCACACCATTTAGCGTAGTGCCAGATATAACTCTTACGTTGGTTAACAAACTCAGTGTCACTTTATATTGGCATCTTCCAGGTAGGGACTTACCTCGTTGTATGAGATATCATCACAGCACTAGATGAGTTGCCGCATCATCTACTAAGAGTAACCTATAGTATGTATGTTATAAAACGGTAAGGAGGCAAATCACTCAATCGTGTTTCCTTTTCCACTACTTTGGACAGTGGGTACTTCGTATTTGAAGTCGGTTGCACGGCTTCTAAGTGCTCTGAAAACGTTTGGTTCAATAGCTTTGTTGGGATGTACCGTTCTTAGGGCGCGATCTGATTATCAATATGAACGGACCACTAGTGCGTCATGAACATCAATTCTCCGTTTTGTCCCATGTATCATGCTGATGTTAACCTCATTGGGCAGCGGTGGTAATAAAAGCCAAATGCAAATTGAGATGTAAAGTGTTATTTAAAGCCTTCATCAACCCCGACAGGTTAAGAAATGCTATCAGGTGGGAGGCTTCTCAGCCTACTCAATTTGATTAAAACATTTTTTAAGTGTGAAGGGTACGGAAAGTACGTCGTGCTATTAAACATATGTACAGTGTCACACATAGGAATGTCAAAATAACTGGGAACATCAGAATACCCCAGTTTCCAAAAGCAAAGGTAGACTGTATAGGCGTGTAACAATACTGAAGTGGCAAACAAATTCTCAAAATCAATAGTTTTGTGGGTCTTGAACATTTGATGCTAACCTCACTAGTTTTACGTGACCCACCCAGATGAAGGCACTCAGTAACACCGCACCAGCAGGTGCTACGCACCCCTTCAACTGTAATCCAGCTTGGACAAACGTTTCTCGAAATACCGATAGCCTTCCAAATATATCTTCGAACTCCTTCATTCTTGGTTTCTGGTTTGACTGGGTTAGCATACTTCCATTGTGAAGTTGTTGCTGGTTAATGCATTGTTAAACTCCGAATACTTGTATATAATGATTAGGAGTATTTGAATTATAATACGAACTAAGAATCACAGAAATAACGTAATCCGATCAAGAAGTACTGGCTAAGCATGAACGAATGTACTGTATTTGGAATTCGAAAACAAGGATTTGTGGTGACAGACCTGACAAGCTTATTTTGTAAATAGTTTTTATTACTATTTGTATTTATTTTGTCAACCTTTCACTGTGCCTGTTGTTTTAGTCAATGACCTTGGACACACTTTTCCGTTGTGCAACCACATAGCGTGACATACTGTTTCTGGCTAACAAATACACTACTACTCACACATTCCTCGTTCTATCTTCGTTTGTGATTGAGTTAACTGAAGTCTAGATCAAATTCTATCTA